AATAAATAAACATTAAAAAAAAAAAAAAAGAACCTCTTGGAGGAGATTTAGGCAATTGGTGCCAATTTGGAAATGAATATATTAAAAACTGAGCAAATCACAAAAATCACTGTTAACCCTTGGAAGACTAAAAAGTTGTATAAGAAAAGAGAAGTTATCATAGTACACTAGATATTTCCATTGTGAATACATTTATAGAGTTATAATAATATAATCAGTGAATATTTCTCTAACCAAAAGTACAATATACATGTACATTGAGTGGATGAGGAGATAGGCAGGGTCCATGTGCTGCAGGGATGGGGAACAAAAGAGAGCTAAATCCTCATCTAACATAATGGGATATCAACATGAAATTCAATGTAAAGTAGGAATCTCTAAGTTATTTAATTATTGCCTCTAACAGAGTTTCGGAAAGGGGACAACAGAGCCAACATGGACAGCTGGTTTTCGAAGGGACGAAAGTCTTATGAAATTATTATACTTTTATTTTTTTAATTTTTTTTAACGTTTTATTTATTTTTGAGACAGGGGGAGACAGAGCATGAACAGGGGAGGGTCAGAGAGAGGGAGACACAGAATCCGAAACAGGCTCCAGGCTCCGAGCTGTCAGCACAGAGCCCGACGCGGGGCTCGAACTCACGGACCGCGAGATCATGACCTGAGCCGGTCAGCCGCCCAACCGACTGAGCCACACAGGCGCCCCGAAATTATTATACTTTTAAACTGTAAGCATGTATAGTTTGATAAATCCAAAACAAAAATAGAATAAATAAAACAGAATAAAAGAGTGAGAGAAGTATTTTCCTCACCAGAGAGTAAAGCATGCTATTAAGCCATTGTAGTCAAATCAATTTGTTGCTGGCATGGTAAAGGATGAATAGTTAATAAAACACAAAAAAAGCTAAACCCAACTAGATTCCACTATATATGGTAACTTAATTATGAAAAAGGTGATATTTGAATTCTATAGGGAAAACATAGCTTGGCACAAACCACCACTCGTCTGAAAGAAAATAAAATCATACCCCTACCTAACCACAACATATAAAAATAACCTTAAGACACCTTAAAGACTTAAATATACAATAAGGGATTTAAATTTTTAGGAAAAATAACTGTAAGTAAGGTTTTTTAAAGAAGGTAAGATTTATTTGACTTTACAAAAACAAATTGTTATGTGGGCAAAAGACACTATAACAAAATCAGTGAAGAAATAACATGTGATCTATGAATATATGTTTGAACTTGCAGGCAATTAGAGAAAAGCAAATTAATTTTTTTTTAACATTTATTTATTTTTGAGAGATGGAGAGAGACAGAGAGACAGAGCATGAGCAGGAGAGGGGCAGACAGAGAGGGAGACACAGAATCAGAAGCTGGCTCCAGGCTCTGAGCTGTCAGCACAGAGCCTAATGTCGGGGTCAAACTCACGAACCATGGGATCATGCCCTGAGATGAAGTTGGATGCTTAACCGACTCAGCCACCCAGGCGCCCCAAGAAAAACACATTAAAGTAGCCATATTATGAGTTTGTACATATACCAGATTAGCCATTTTCTTTAGTGAAGCCTACTTTGATGGCATTGCCAGGAGAAGGCACTGCTAGCAGAAATGTGAGTCATTATAAGAGTGTTTTTAAGAAACAATCTGCCATTACCAGATACACTTAAAATTCATGTAGCCTCAGACTCAGAAATCTCCTGCATGGATAGCTACCACATAGAAATAAAGTGCCAGTGGGTAAGAATATCAGTACAAAGATGTTTATTGTAGCATTGTTTGAAGAGGCAAAAACTGTCAACCTCTTACAGGGTTTTTTAATGGCGCCACTGATGAAAACAGCTGTTTCAATAGGTTAAACCACAAAAACTGAATCAACAGACTCTGTTCCATTTAAACACCATCTCTGACTTACCAAGAAAGCTAGTATTTCCTTTTTTACACCCTGTCTCTTGGTTTCAATCATTCACACACTTTCAAATCTCTGGACCCCGTGTCAGCAAAATCCCTGGAACCCACAAAAACGGTCACATGCCCAAAGCTTTTCATCAGAAAGCAACCACTCCATTTCTGTTTTCTGCACTCACCACTGTTTCCCTTTATACCATGCCTCCTTTAATAATATATTGCTTTGAGAGTCCAGGAAACTGAGTAATGATTATATGGCTAAAAAGCAGCCATATCTGGTGTAGTCCTACTCACGTGAAAATATTGTCTTTCTCTAGAAAGGCACCACCAAATTCTCAACAGAAGAATAACTCCACTTGCTTCATGAAAGTACCACTCATTCTTACTTCCTTCTTTCTGTTCTACCACTTCCACATTTCATTCAATAAATACGTACTTTTGTCAGCGGCAACCACAATAAACATAATGTTATCACAGTTCCAACTTTTGTCTTCACCCATATTGATGTATATATCTGAGAGTGGGAAGAAAGGCATAATTGTTTCTAAAAGATACTTACCGGAATAGTGAAACGAAAAATCTCACTAGCAACATATAAAAATGACCTATAAAAGGGTACAGTGACTCTGTCTGGGCCCACAAATAAAATTTTGCAATGAAATTTTAAAGGAAATGGTCCTTCCATTTTAACAGTCTCTAAAACTTCAGAAACCATTCAAAGAACAACTCCCCACTTGTCTTTGTCCAGTAGCCATGTATATAAAAGATAGATGCTAATATACCTACATAAGTAAGATTTTTCTCTAAAGAATACTCAGAAAGCATAACTCTATCAAAAATATATTAGCCCATAAAATCAAGTTACTGCTATTCATATTTGGGATCTTACTGAGAAATAAGTCTCTATAAGGTTATATCATAAGTAAAGATAATAGAAAGCATCTTGAAGAGGTCACACACAAAAGAAGCCATAATTCTCTCATAATAGGGAACAATCACATTACATGTAGCCTTTGTAGGAAGAGATGTATTGAACGCACCATGAACTTGAGGATACTATGCCAAGGAGAACAAAGCCTCCACGTAAGTTGTCCTTTTGATTTAAAGTTATAATACCTTGCCCTCCCTCAATTCCATATGGCATCGTATTTCAGCAACTCAAGGCTCTGAAGTGAGCTCATGTAATACAGACAAAATCTACCTCAATCTCATGCTTGCAAATGTCCCAATTAACATCAAGCGATGCGAGCAGTGGTAAAACAACACAAGAAGCAGAGTCAGGAGTCCTGGATTCCAGGCTGGGAGCTCTCACAGACTGACCTTGAGTAAGTCCCAGAATTCATTTTTCTTTCATGCAACGTGGTTAAACTGGATGATCTCTAAGTCTCCTGCCAGAAAGTCTACCACTTTGGGGCAGGTTGTAATCAGGACTCAGCAACTTAACAGCTTCTTCAGCCTCCAAATGCAACTGAGGGCCGCCCTTCCCCTGCCCTTCATTCCCTCCTGTATCTGATCTTTCTTGCTTTACACTGCCCTTTCCTCCCTCCTACTGCCAATTCCCTGCCTTCATTCAACACTGCCCTCCATTATTCTCCAGTAATAATGGTAACATTCATTGAATACTTTCTATGCGCCACACAGTTCACATTCATTTTCTCATTTAATCCTGAAAACTACCTCATGAAATAGGGTAAATTATTTTCTCATATAGACCATGAACCTGAGTCTTAGAAAGATGGTTTTTCCTTCACTCTACCTCCGATCGCCACATTCCAGTATATACAAAAAAAGTAATGAAGCAATTATTAAACACCTGGTATGAAGTCCTTGGCCACGGTGACCAGAATAAAAGGATCACATGGTGAAGGGTGAATAGTTAGTAAAACACACAAAAAAGCTAAACCCAAATAGGTCCTGCTATACATAGTAACTTAATTATGAAAAAGGTGATATTCTGTAGGGAAAGCATAGCTTGGCACAAACCACCACTCATCTGAAAGAAAATAAAATCATACCCTTACTTACCACAACATATAAAAATAACCTTAAGACACATTAAAGGCTTAAATATATAATAAGGGATTGAAAATTTAGGAAAATAACTATAAGTAAGATTTTTTTAAGAAGGTAGATTTACTTGACTTTATAGAAACAAATTGTTATGTGGGCAAAAGATGCTCTAACAAAATCAGTGAAGAAATAACCTGTGATCTATGAAGATATACTTGAACTTGCAGAACTTGCAGGTAATTAGAGAAAAACAAATTAAAATTAAAATAGCCATATTATGAGTTTGTACATATGTCAGTTTAGCAATGTCTCAGCTCACAGCTGCTGTTCATGATTCTTAAACAAATCTTTTAAGTAATGCCTGAGGTTAAAGTGGGGCTGTGAAAGCTGCTTGGGGAATGGGGTGATTTCTTCCCTCCTACAATAACCTGCATAGATCATGGTTGTGCTTCAGCTGTAGCAGAAGTTTGGGTGTGATGTGTCTACTTTGACCAAGGACAAGATCCCCATACTCACAGAAGCTAATATTCAACAGGTTAGGAACCAGAGAAAAACACTTTGGTCACCAAGACTTTGTTCCCTTTTTAATCAATTGACTATAAACTGCTCCAATTTTTCTATGCATATATTTTAGACTCACTAAGATGTTATGAAAGTTAAGGGGAACTGTCAGATGCATCACATTGTTGTTGCAAAGAAAAGCTTTGTGCGCTTCAGCACATTATCCTCTCTAAGCATCAATTTCCTGATTTATAAAATGAAAAAAGTACCTATTTTCAAAGAGTTTTATGCACATTAAATAAAATAACTTCTATCACCTCTTAGCTGTTAGAATGGCTATCACCAAAAAGTCAAGAAATAGCAAGTGCTGGTAAAGTTGTGGAGGAAAAAGGAACCCTTGTGCACTGTTGGTGGGAATGTAAATTGGTGCAGCCACTGTGGAAAACAATATGGAGGATCCTCAAAACTTTAAAAAAAGAAGTACCATAGGATGCAGTAATTCCACTTCTGGGTGTGCGTTTGAAGAAAACAAAAATACTCATTCAAAAAGATATACACACACACACACCCCCCCCACTTATTGCAGCATTATTTACAATAGTCAAGACATGGAAACAACCTAAGTGTCTGTTGAAGGATGACTCAATAACTAGAGTGTGGAATATATGTGCGCACATGCATGTGTGTGTGCACACTCGCGCACAATGGAAAATTATTCAGCCATAAAAAGGAATGAAATCTTGGTGGGAACTTATTCCTTTCTTGCTCCAGCCATCTTGGCAGCTGCTCTTGGTTGGGTCCATCCCACACCTAAGGCAGGAAGATGGTGGCCACTAGGAAGACAAAAAAGTCACTGGAGTTGATCAACTCTAGGCAGCCACTCATTACAAAAAGTGGAAAGCACATGCTGGGATTCAAGCAGACTCTGAAAATGATCAGACATGGCAAAGTGAAACTGGTCATCCTTGCCAACTACTGCCCATCCTTGAGGAAATTTGAAATAGAATACTATGCCATGTTGGCCAAAACTAGTGTCCATCACTACAGGGGCAATAACACTGAATCGGGCACAGCACGTGGGAAATACTACAGAGTGTGCACTCCAGCTATCACTGATCCATATGATTCTGATATCTCATTAGAAGCATGTCATAACTGACTGGTGAAAAGTAAATCATGCAAAATTTTTCTTTAATAAAACTAGCCAGAGCTTGTTTAAAAAAAAAGTGGGGCACCTGGGTGGCTCAGTGGGTTGAGCGTCCGACTTCGGCTCAGGTCATGATCTCACGGTTTGTGAGTTCGGGCCTGCATTGGGCTCTGTGCTGACAGCTCAGAGCCTGGAGCCTGCTTTGGATTCTATGTCTCCCTCTCTCTGCCCCTCCCCACTTGTGCTCTGTCTCTCCCTATCAAAAATAAATAAAATGTAAAAAAAAGAAAAGAAAAGAAAGAAAAAGAAAAGGAATGAAATCCTGCCATTTACAACAACATGAATAGGTCTTGACGGCATTATGCTAAGTGAAGTAAGTTAGACAGAAAAAGACAAATATTATATAAGCTCACTTATATGTGGAATCTGAAAAAAAATTTAAAAACTGAGCTCATAGATATAGGGAACAGATTGGTGGTTGCCACAGGTGGGAGGAAGGGATGGAGAACAGGTGAAGAGGGGCAAAAGGTACAAATTTCCAGTTATAAAATACATAAGCCACAGGATGCAGTGTGTAGTGTGCTTACTATAGTTAATAATACTGCATTGCATACTCGAAAGTTGTTAATAGATTTTAAAAGTTCGCATCACAAGAAAAAACATTTTTTGTAACTATGTATGGTGACAGATGTTAACTACACTGACTATGCTGATCATTTTTCAATATATCCGAATATCGAAACATTATGTTGTACACCTGAACGTAGCCCAATTTTATAGGCCAATTATACCTCAATAAAAAATAATAACTTATGGAAATGCTTGAAATGGTAAAATTTGGTACCAATAAAATCAGTGAATATTAGATAGTAGATAGTAGATAGTAAAGGATAGTATGTAACAATACGCATATATATGTATATGTATATACACATAAGCAAACATAGATGATGTTCAGACACACACAAGAGTGAACATACCAAATCTGATTGATGCCTACTATAAGCCTCATGGAAATTCTTAAAAAAAAATTGTAATCTCTATGTATTCTTGAAAGAGAGAGAGAGAGAGAGAGCGCGCCAGGGAGGGACAGAGAGAGAGGGAGACACAGAATCTGAAGCAGGCTCCAGGCTCTGAGCTGTCAGCCCAGAGCGGGGCACGGGGCTCGAACTCAGACACCATGAGATTATGAGCTGACCCTAAGTCACTCGCTTAACTGACTGAGCCATCCAGGGGCTAAGCCTCATGGAAATTCTTTAGACCTTGAAATATGCGCAGCTATCATAATACCAACACAATCACAAAAAAATACCATCCTTCTCTCTTTACAGTAAGTTTGAAAAAATCTGATGAAACAATGTATGCAGAAAGCAGCAGAGGCAGATGCCCTGGGCTCTTTCCTCATGTTCACCACAAAGGGCTCTGGCGCCACCGTGTGGCCACATAGCACAGCAGCCCACCACTGAATCAACTCTGCAGAAGCTGTGAAGTCTGGACTTTCCAAAGGCACCCTTTCCACACTGAGAAGATGAATATGGTTTCCTTGGTAAGAACCCTATCCCGCCTCAGACGGAAACAGTGCATAAAGTTCGCTTTAATTGTCCACCAACCTATTTCTGTGTTTTGTGTTGAATTATCCCAACTGACCACTCTCCCTGTGAAGTTCATGATGTTCTTAAGGATTCTGTAGCTGCCCTTATCAGGAGAGATAAGCATGTTGCATGATGAACTAGAACATGATCAGGAAAGAGCTATAATAGAGGTGTGTAGACAAAAATGAGGGCGTTGGGGGAGGCTAACTTGAATACAAAAGCAGAACTAAAGACAGGCTGACAGCAAGGGCTGAGTGGGAGAATTCAACTCAATTTTTTTTTTTTTTTTTTTTTTTTTTGAGCTGCAGTTACTATGAGTCATGCTCTCTGCTCAGGGCTAGAGATATGAAAAAAGCTAACACTTTAACAAGCTCACTGAGGAACAAGAAATCTTCAGGAAGTCCTAAGGAATCAAAACCAATACACTTAGAAAACCTCTGGTTAACCCAAGGAAGCAGTGCTTTGGGGGAAGAACCCTACCAAGTTTATAAAGCTAATTTCTACACATAAACATGTTGCTAGACAAGAGTAAACTTCAATCGATATATGCCACTTCTGGTTTTGGAGAGAAAACAAAATCTTTCTTTTTCCCCATGAAAAAACTTTCACTCTTCAGAGGCCAAGTTCAAGAAACATCCACTTCTCCACTATATTTTCCATAACAGACTAAATGCCAAATCATTGCTCCATCACTTCCATAAATTTTAGGCACCTCTGTCTTTATTTTATTACCCAGTGCTTGGTTCTAAGTGCTTCTGCAATTTTTTCACTAGTGAACTCAGTTATTCATATATCTTATCATCCCATTTTACTCAAAGGGCATACATTCTGAAGACAAAGAACAACTCATCAATTTTTGCAGTTTTTTTTTATTTATTTATTTAGAGAGAGAGAGAGCATGTGAGCAGGGGAGGGGCAGAGAGAGAGAGGAGACAGAATTCCAAGTAGGCTCAGGACTGTCAGTGCAGAGCCCCACACGGGGCTTGATCCCATGAACTGTGAGATCACGACCTGAGCCGAAGTCAAGAGTTGGACGCTTAACTGGCTAAGCCACCCAGGCGCCTCATCAATTTTTGCAGTTTCAGAGTCGTACCCTCTATCCCGTTCAGCTGGTCTTGACTCCCATCAGACCAAGGCTCACTCACTGTCCTTCACCCCTCCCCACAAGACTGTGGGCATCTCACATTTCTCTTCTTTCTCCTAATCTCTGAGAAAAAGGGGGCCCCTGCTTCTGCCCAAAGATAATTTTTCTGCCATGTTCTGCTTCTCCTCTCTGTTCACTTTTCTCCAGTACCTAATTCCATCAACTAATCTCTTTTTTTCATAGATCTTCAATCTCTCTCTACATGCAGCTCTCTTCTTCTTAGCCTATAAGAAGAATCTAATCTCGCTCAACCTTGAAAGAATGTTCTCTAGCTGCTGCTCCAGCTCTCCTTCCTTTTGTATCCAACCTATCGGGGTCTGTTCCCACATCTCCATTGCTGCACTCAGTATGGCTTCCTCCCTCAATGTTTGCATACAGTTAACTGAGTCATCTCAAAGGTTGAATCCAACAGTCTTTTTTACTTCTTACCTTATTTGACCTTTTCATAGCACTTCACACTGTCGACCACTTGCTCCTTAAATTCTCCCCAAGAAGAAGCAATTTATCAGCTCTTTGCGATATACTATGTTCTTTACGAAGCCTGAGAAATCAAATGAAAAGAAATGCCCCTGCCTCTGAACAGTTGACAGTTTAGCAGAGAACACTGAGTACAAAGAAAGGAAAGTGCAGAAGTCTCTGAGTCTTCTGGTTCTCCTACTGAACTTTCCATGTTCCCCTTTCCCTACAACAAAGGTCTCTTCAATTTTTTTATCATATACCCTATCTATGTATACATCCCTAATATACTTATAAATATAAGCACATATATACAATCATAGGCTAAAATCTGAACATAATAAGGTAAGATTTGTCACTATCTATGCTAGATATAAATCCACATTTCAAATGGTCTTCTGGATGGCTTTCCCAAAAATTACTTTGTAATGAAACTGACAAAGAGGTTTAACTTGAAGTAAGAAAAAATGCCAGCTCAAGGATATTTATACACTGTTGGTGGGAATTGTAACCGGTACAGCTGCTATAAAAAAGAAAAAGACAAAAAAACAGTATGGCAAGTTCCTAAACAAATTAAAAATAGAACTACCATATCATCCAGCAAGCCCACTTCTGGATATATACATATATATATGTATATATATATACACACACACACACACACATATATATACATATATATATACATATATGTGTGTGTGTGTATATATATATATGTGTGTGTATATGTGTATGTATATATGTGTGTGTATATATATATATACATATATATATGTATGTATATATGTATGTGTGTATATATATACATATATATGTGTATATGTGTATGTATATATGTATGTGTGTACATATGTATATATATGTATATATATGTGTGTGTGTGTGTGTATATATATATATATATATATATATGTAGGAAATAAAATCACCATATTGAAGAGATCTCTTGAAGAGATGCATTTGATATATTATATTATGCATTTGATATATTATATATACTCAAATGCAAACACATACACACACACTGGAATATTGTTCAGACATAAAAAAGAAGAAAATTCTGCCATTTGTGACAACATATATGAAACTTGAGCACATTGTGCTAAGTGAAATAAGGAAGAGAAAGACAAACACAGAGAAAGATATCACTTACATGTGGAGAGAACAGACTGGTGGATTCCAGAAGCCAGGGCAGGGGTGGGGAGGTGTGGAATGGGCGAAAGTGGTGAAAATACAAACTTCCAGTTATAAGGTGAGTAAGTCCTGGTGATGGAATGTATAGCATGGTGACTATACTTAACAATACTGCATTGTATATTTGAAAATTGCTAAGAGAGTAGTGCTTAAAAGTCCTCACCACAAAAAGAAAATTGTTAACAATGTGAGGTCATGAATTTGTTAACTAACCACGTTACATGTCAATTATATCTCAATGAAGCTGACAAAAAATAAAAACAAAAGACAGCAGCAACAAAACATGCCAGTTCTTTCACCTTCTTTTTGTTGGCTTATGCTTTCATTATAGATATTTATCTTCAAACTGCAATTTCTTTGCAAGAGTCTTTTAAATGACTGTTTAAGTTGACTTATAGAATTCAGCATAATGATAGACACACACACACACACACTGCACTTAATGAGTATTTATTAACAAAGTAATATGCATTAGGGCTTTGGTATTTTCTGTGGTAAGAAAAAAATATGTTTCGGGTCCTTAGGAAGACTTTAGAAACCCAAGGTGCTGAAACTGGAAAAGCTGCTAAGAAGGGGCTCTGGGTCACTTTGCATAAATACTCCTCTCTCGGGAATATAAATAACATGTCATATAGATTTGCCTTCATGGTACCCCTAGT